CGTGTGCTCTTCCGATCTCCCCAAAACCCCAAAACCCCAAAACCCCAGTCTGGTGCTTTTGCTAATAGTAGATATAATTATATTTAAATAGAAAAAAGATTATAAAATAACTCAATCGAGTGAAATATATTATTAATGACTACAGTCACTACGAGTGCTTGATCTTTGGAAATTTATCTTTGTTTGAATGTTGAACCTTAAAATATACTGATTGTTTTGGGTAAATGTACTTTTTACGAGAGTCTCTCTAGTCCTTGTCTATTTTTTCTATCTCAAATATTCTATCTGGCAGGAGAATGTCGCTAGCTCGTGTTTAAATCTAAGCTTAGAATTTTTCTTTGCTGTCCCATCTCCATTTATATATTTAACTTTCTTTCATATTTAGTTTTGCAGCAAGCTCAGTGATCTTTCCTTTGCTCCAATGAGGATTTTTCTAGTACTCATTTTTAAGAACATTCATTTGGTACTTGTAGTACCATGCCTTTTTGCAGGTTACACAGCTTTATTGCTAATTTATCTTTGTGCTTATCCATTAGCTTCGTGAGAGCCCTTTTTTATAGATCCAGTATATAGTCTTACCCTTAATACTTTCACCTGCTTTCATTAATTCCTTATTTAAGTGCTTTAGACATCTATTTGGAAATCTTTTTTCATACTCTCTTATCTGGTCGAGTTGTCTCTTAGAAATGATAATGTTCTTATAAAATCGTTTTTATTCACTGCAGAGCTAATCTACTTGATCTTCTACAGATATTTTTTCTGAGACTTCTTCTTCTTCCGATTTCAAATTTAACGTGGACTCTGATTTTATTGATGATTCTTCCAATATTTTTACGTCTGCTTTTTCTTTTATTTTTAAAAACCTAATGAGACATTGAAGTGGCTTCTTTTATACTTCTTCTGAAGTTGGTTGTACTGCTTCTGAGTTAAGATTAAGATTTGTAGAGTTAGATGATAATAAATTATTCGATAAATGATTATTATTTTAATCATCTAGCATCCTCTTTTCGTCATTGCAGTCCATGGCATATTAAATACTTTTCTCTTAAATTTAGGAATCTTCAAAAGACTTTAGTTCATTAGAGCATTTTTATTCATTATTCTATTGATTTTGAGTTCCAATTATTTCATTACTCAGTTAAGCTCCAGAATGCTGCTAAGTTACATTGTTCTAGATGAGTTAGATCGTTGGATTAATTTTTGAGATTTCAGAAATTGCCATTTATTGAGAGCTTTAAATTACTGATGATTAATTGATTGGATACAAAATATAGCTTGTTGGTATCGCAATGTAGGGGTGCTGGACTTAATTGAAATTATATTAAGGTTGATTTTAAGTAAGAGATCCTGAGTTCAAATATATATAGTTCATTATGCTTGTCTAATAATTAATTTTATGTAGAAATTAATAGTATCATTCTAATATCTTAGTATTTTTGTGAGAAGAGGGTCTTTCATTATTAAATTTCATAAACCAATCCAATGTTCCCATAACTTGTCTCACGGGGTTTTGGGGTTTTGGGGTTTTGGGGAGATCGGAAGAGCGTC